AGTATTTTGGCATTTTGAACAATGTTAATGTTAATTTGTGGTATAAAACAGAGAAACAAGATGCTCTTATTTGGTAACATAATATAATAATACAAAAAAATATTATTTGACTATTATAAATGTAAATGTTACTCGAAATGTTATTATACCTATGCACATTATTAATCTTATTTATCTTCTCTCTGCGGTCATGGAGCCACTGCCTGAAGGCCAAAGAGGATGAGGAGGATGTTCTTCCCTCAGGCCCTTTGGGTCCTGAACGAGTGACCTTTCAGAGGACTACACATCATTTATAATTCATCCATTTACTATAAATTTCTGTCGTACTGATGTCATTATCACCCCTTATAATGATTAGATCATTATTTACTGTTAAATCATTAGACTATTTTGTTTCATTGTTTCACAGTCTTATTTTACTTTTGAATCCTATTTGCTAGATGTATTCTGGAGCTTGGCAGATTTTCACTATACATCGAACTGTGTATGATTGTGTATGTGACAGTAAACTTGACAATGTTGTGGGTGGACATGATATGCACACAGGCACATGTTTTTTGTGTGATTTGTATATGTATATGCATATTTGTATTTTTCATGCACCAACGCACCAAGTCACATTCCTCGTAGGTGTAAAAACCTACTCGGCAATAAACAATTCTGATGTGAGGAAGGGCTCAAATAGCATATTTCATAGGTGAAATGTATTATTTAAGGGATCATGTCTTCAGTCAGCTGAAAGATAGGCAGTCTGTTAGGAGAAAGAAGATACAAGTTAAAAAAGGATAGGAGTCATTTTTATCTTTTTGCCTGCATTAGTTGACTATGAAAACAATATTCATCAAATTATTTACCCTATGTATGGATGTTTTTTTATATTACAAATTTATAAGAGACACTATAATTAAACCTAATGATAAAAGTAGATAGTGATTCCAGTTTGTTTTTTATTATATTTATGTCATGTATCTCTATCTCTAAACTATTAATTTACTAAAAAAATAAAAATATTGCTGCAGCAAATACACAAGATGCGTTCACAACTGTCGGATATATGCACACAGAGCGTCCTATAGTGAACGGTAACTTTCGACTTAAACATTTAACTTATTATTTTAAACATTAAAACATTAACATTTGTACTCTAAGCACGTTTGTGTACTTTTACGTGTTGTTTCTCCCAAAAAAAATAAAGTCGATAAAAAGTTGTTGCCAAAGTCGCAGATTTCCTGAACATATAACATTTAGAAGCGCAGTTGTTGAAGGCACGAGGTTGTGAAGAGAACCTGAAGGCAGCACTATGCGGAAGGAAGGTTGTTCGGCGCCATATTTAATACATCAGAAGCTAGCTAGCGTTAGCTGTTTACAAGCCCAAACTTTTAACTTGAGACGGAAACGTAAAGCAAGCCCTCAACATAATCCAACATGAATGTAATAGACCATGTACGGGATATGGCTGCCGCTGGCCTTCACTCTAATGTCCGGATATTGAGCAGTTTGTTGTTGACGATGAGTAATAACAATCCGTAAGTATTGTCAGAGCGGGGTCCGTCTATTTCCTGAAGGGTGCTCTCGTCCACCAGTGTGTTATGTTGTCTTCCCGTTAATGTGACAGCCCAAAGCTAACTGCTCGACAACGGATAACATTAATGACTGTAACCGTAAAGCGCGTCAGATTTCTAAATTAATGTAAACAGACTCCCGCTAAATTCTCGGTGGAGTATTTAGAGTTGCGTTTATATTAACGGTGTACGTTCATCTCCAGCAAATAGTCGTATGTAGAGTCTCCTCCAGTTAATGGTGGCTGCAGTTAGCAGTTAGCTTGAAGCACTGTGGATGCAGCCGATCAGAGAGGACTTACACACATATTCCACATGTATTGTTGATAACTTGATTCCCCCGTTCACGATAGAGTGTGATTGATTTCAGATCAGTGGCTTTGTACGAGCTGTGCTGTCTCAGTTACTGTTACAGCCCAGCTCAACCAGTGTGCCCTCTATTCTGATTAAAACTGCCTGTGGCATTGCATCAATACACATTTTCACTATCTTTGTTTATTCTTGTTATGGTAACCTTTATGTTAGGAACATTCTTCATTAGTTTGATTGGCTGTATATTTTGTTATGAACATAATATTCCTGTTTTTATTCAGTTTTTCTCTTTTGTATTTTCTTTTACTCAATGAGTTAATTTAAGTCTTTGGACTATTAGACACTTTGCATTATCACGTGTGCATTTCCTATGTGGTTTCTTCTCTGATTGTAATTACTTTATTGTTTGGATCTTTATTTTGTTTCCAGAGAGCTGTTCTCACCGGCCCAGAAGTACCAGATGTTGGTTTACCACGCTGATGCCATCTTCCATGACAAGGAGTATCGTAATGCTGCCTGTAAATACAGTATGGCTCTGCAACAGAAGAAGGTGCTCAGCAAAACGTCTAAAGTTCGTACTTCTACTGGTGGAGCCGCATCTAACATACAGGCACAGGTATGGTAGATGCCACTGACTGAAGCCGTGACACAACTCCTGTGTGTGACTCGCAGATTTCCTACACTATGGAAGATGACACAACGATTGCAGATGTAGTTGTTTTTTTATTTGCTGTTTTGATGATAGTATTAAAGTATATTTTGAGGGACACTAAAATCTCCTGGCACACAGTGCTTCACTTACATTTACAGTTTATATACAGTATAAACCAAAGAACATTTGAACTTGATAGGTGTGTGGTTGCTTTTGCCATCATTAACTCTTGCTGAAGGATAAAAGGATAAAATGTGTTGTTTTGAAGACAGGGCATTTTGTTCTAATGTGTGTTAATGTGCTGAGTGTCTTGTTTGCTAAATCCATACCTCTGAATGGTAATAGAAAAACATCCAGTTACACTGATGGTTGTCTTTCAGAGTTTGCCCTCAGAAATTGAGGTGAAGTATAAGATAGCTGAGTGCTACACCATATTGAAACTGGATAAAGATGCCATTGCAGTGCTCGATGGGATTCCATCCAGACAGAGGACTCCGAAGGTAATATTTGCAACTATTTATGTATTATTGATTAATCTGTCGATCATTTTCTCAAAGCCCAAAGGGGACGTCCTCAAATGTCTCATTTTGTCCACAACCCATAGATATTCAGTGTACTGTCATAGAGGACTAAAAAAAACCAGAAGATTTTCATCTGAGAGGCTGAAATCAGAGAATTGTTTCTTCTTTTTAAAAAAACAAAAAAAACAATCAATTATCATAAGAGTCTACAACTAATTGATTAATTGACTAATCGTTGCGGCACTATTTGAGTTTGTTAGCTTTTACAGAGAATTGTGATCAAAGGATGGTATTGTTTTCTTTCTCGCCTCAGATCAACATGATGCTAGCTAACCTGTACAGGAAAGCTGGCCAGGAGCGCTCTGCAGTGACGAGCTACAAAGAGGTCCTCAGACAGTGTCCCCTCGCCCTGGATGCAATCATTGGTATGTGTAGCTGCAGAGACACCTTCATCTAAAAAAAACATTTAACCTGCTGAGACACTTATGTATGTATATATAGTCTGGTGTGTAAACACACATGCTCACAAAAGTTCTGCTTGTGAATCTCTGACTCCAGTGAACGTTTTATGGAGCTTTGACACCTGTTTATGAAAAGCGCTCTTTAAATAATTATTACAAAAAATCTGTTTTTTCCTCTAGGTCTTCTCTCTTTATCAGTCAAAGGAGCTGAAGTGGCGTCCATGACTATGGATGTGATCCAGAGTATCCCCAACCTGGACTGGCTCTCTGTTTGGGTCAAAGCATATGCCTTCATACACGCGGGGGACAATCAGAGAGCCATCAACACTATTTGGTGAGCAGAGCAGCAATGCTTTATACAAAGTGAATATTCCTGTTCCTTTTTAATGTGACAGTCTGGTTTATTTGTTGTGTCTCCATCTCGTCTTGTCTCAGCTCTCTTGAGAAGAAGTCTCTGTTGCGGGACAACGTAGACCTCCTGGTGAGCCTGGCAGATGTCTACTTCAGGGCAGGTGACACCAAGAACGCCATCCTCAAATTTGAACAAGCCCAGATGCTGGACCCATACCTCATCAAAGGTGACTGATTGACCGAGCGTCTTTCATAAACAGTTAAAATGTATTCGGTTTGTTTTGTACTATTTGATCCTCAGGGCTTGATTATCTTTCATTGTCTGTGCTGTGAGCTCGGGACCGTGCACCAGCTTTACACCCTAAAATGTCCGTTCTGTTGTTTTGCTCTTGCAGGAATGGATGTTTATGGGTACCTGATGGCCCGTGAAGGACACTTGGAGGACGTTGAAGTCCTTGGGGGACGATTATTTAATATCTCGGACCAGCATGCAGAACCCTGGGTGATCTCTGGGTGAGTCTCTGAGCAGGCAGTCTTAATAGGCTGACACATATCACATATCACTTCAAGTATAATAGATGTGTAACTGTTACTTTTTATGGGAAATAGCACTGTCCTGTTCGGTTTTTGTAATGCTTTGAATGTGTTTGTGTGGCTCAGTTGTCACAGCTTTTATAGCAAGCGTTACTCCAGAGCCCTCTACCTGGGAGCCAAGGCCATCCAGCTGAACAGCAACAGCGTGCAGGCTCTCCTCCTGAAGGGTGCAGCGCTGAGAAACATGGGTCGTGTTCAAGAAGCCATCATCCATTTCAGAGAGGCCATGCGCTTGGCACCCTGCAGGCTCGACTGCTACGAAGGCATGTTTGGCTTTTTAAAAAAATTCTATCCCATTATGGCCTCTGTCTTTTCACTCGGAGTACATTTCTATTCTGCTTTTTAAAGTGTTAGTAACCGCCCCTTCACAGGTCTGATCGACTGTTACCTGGCATCCAATGGGATTCGAGAGGCTATGGGAATGGCCAATAACATCTATAAGACTCTGGGGGCCAACGCACAGACTCTGACCATCCTTGCCACAGTGTGCCTGGAAGACCCGGTGACTCAGGAGAAAGCCAAAACCCTGCTGGACAAAGCACTGGCCCAGAGACCGGACTACACCAAGGCTGTGGTCAAAAAGGCTGAACTGCTCAGTACGTACAGCTGCCTTTGAAAATCAGATCTTTCATCAGATTTTTCAAAGAAATTCAAATCTATTCAGTAACTTAAAGAAAATAAATATGGAAATAAAAGTGTCCTGTGTGCTTTTTTGAAGGTCGGGAACAGAAATATGAAGAAGGGATCGCTCTCCTCCGTAACGCCCTGGCCAATCAGAGTGACTGTGTCCTGCACAGAATGCTGGGAGATTTTCTGGTGGCTGTAAACGATTACCAAGAAGCCATGGATCAGTACAGCATAGCACTAAGGTAACCAGAGACTGCTCCTTACTTTAACTTCTAATACTTCTTCTGATATGTTGCAAAAATAAAGCAAAGTATTCTTTTAGCCACGTAATGATGGGGAGTTTATGCATTTATATCGTCTTTCCTAAGCTTGGATCCCAATGACCAGAAGTCTTTAGAAGGCATGCAGAAGATGGAGAAGGAGGAGAGTCCCACGGACGCCACGGTGGAGCTGGACGGTGACGACATGGAGGGCAGCGGAGAGGACGGAGACCTGGAGGGCAGTGACAGTGAAGCGGCGCAGTGGGCCGATCAGGAACAGTGGTTTGGTATGCAGTGACCCCGGCCACTGAAGGATACACAGTCAGTTCCACCTTCCAAACACACTGCAGCCCGTCAGAAGCTTTCAGCCACCAGGGTTGTCAAACAGGACACTCTAATGCGGTTTCCCCAACATCCTGACAGCCTTATCAGCCACTTCACTGCGGAGCTAATTGAGGCGCGTTTGCTCGTCTTTAGCGCTGCCTAATACAGTCTTACCAGAGGACACTCAACCCCACAGACAATCCACTTCTTTCTTTTGGCACTGTCCCAGGCGGTGCAAAGTACAACTTAAAGTTAAATATTTTATTACAAAGTGAGTGTCGGTGTATTAAAAAACCCTGCCTTTTCGAGGTTGAGTTATTCCCAGGATGCACTTGGGGAAATGTAGACTGAAGCAACGGGTGTTATGGTAAATTTTGTTCAGGCCAAGAATGGCTGGAGTTATCCTTCACGTGTCACAGGGGGGACTGCAAAGATTTTAAATGTGTGTTGTTTGAGCCCGTCTGACTCACTTGTTTGCCAACGACTTTTTGTCTCCAACAGGCAAACTAGAGGTCTGTGAAAAAGTGACTATGTACCATATTTCTGCTGCTCTTTAAAATGTATCCTTCATTTTAACATGAGAATGTGTCATATAATGTACATGCTTATCATTTGTGTGTGTTGTCTTCTGAGTCTGCCTTTATGTATCAAAAAAATAACCCTATAATTGACTCATTCTTAAGTTGGGACGTGTTACTTAACCATTTCAGGACACATGTTTATAGTATTTTGTACATATTTTTAAAGTGTATAATAAAATGATTAAACACTCTCACTTGACATGAATGTAGTAGTCCAGTTTCTCTTAAACTGGTCCAGAATTAGACAGCACGTTATATTGTTTAATCAGTGGTTCCCAACCTTTTTCCTTAAGGGACCCCTTTTCTATCACTGAATAAACTGACTAAGTGACATTTCATGGATATTTCATGTTCAGTGCATGACAATAATACTACAGAACAACTGGAACTGTACAATGAACTCAAACAGTGAGTACAATAACTGCAGGAAGTTTGTGTGAAACAAGCAATTTGGATGAATTAAAAGTATTTGCTTTGAATATTGATCAGATGAGTTTTAGAGATTTGTTGCAACATTTTATACAATTATCTATTATTTTTTTCTTCACCAATCATACATACTTGATAGGCTTTTTGTTCACACATTCAGGGTTTTCGTCCCCCTGATGCTTGGCTACTGTTTGATTAGCTCTTTGGTTGTTTGAGCTGCATACATCTCTAATGCAGAATGAGGCTATTGAGCCGACAGTTAAGGCTCTTTGAGTACAGCTTGTGTTATTAAATAACAATTTAATTTAGTTTCCTCCACAAAAATGAATGTAATGCTGAGATACCGATAGTGCATACATCTTTTTAAAGTTTTCCTACATCCCCATGAATCTTTGGTGACCCCCAGGTTGGCAATGAATCTTAGCGACACCAGAAAGAACAGTGATTAAACTCTTCACGTATGACAGTTTTATTTACCTGAAACCAAAGTTCATGTGATACATTGTACAATCATCTCTGAAAATACAGTACAGCAGTTTGGCAAAAAAATGCCAGTGGAGGGACTGCCTGTCATTCTCATGGTAAAACGTATGCATCACTGCACCGCTGCACGTCCGCCTTCCCAGATATGGCAAAATCTGCTCCAAACATGTTGCACATCTCAGTGCAAAGCAAAAAAAAGGCTGTTTGGTTTTTAAATATCCCATAAAAGTATTTCCTTAGGAAAGATGAACTGTTTTTTTTGAGCTTATTTAACATTTGTACTATCTGACGAATGTCTATTCTATTTACCAATACTATACATTGTCTATTACACAGGTCTGGTAAAACAGATGGCTGATTCAGCGGACATGCACCATGGAATATAGTACAATTCACTGTACACGGTACTAAGATCTTTGTCTAAAAAGATGGCATGAGAATTGTATCGTAATCTAAGGCTCTTCATGCAGGACGATGTTAGGACTGATGAGGTTGGACTGGCTAGTTTTCATCAGCAATTATTTATGGCCATTCTATAAAACGATGTATGGTCTTTATGAGCCTCTGTCTTCGTATTACTTAACTGACATGCAGCTCTTGTAAGATGTGCTGCCCAAAACACACATGCACAACACAAAACAAAACCAAAGTTTCTGCAAGGAATTTAGAGTAGAGGTGGGCTTACTTGGCCTTTGCTGCAAAGAAAAAGAAGAGAGAGGAAGAATCAAATCAGTGGACACAAGAATCACAGGCCAAAGTAAAAGCATCTGAGCAGCAAATAATTTATATTCACCAGTATTTCTTTTCATAAAATGAGCAAATATATATTAAGGCCATGCTATGGGCAAGCAGAGAATTAGGTCAAAAGACAAATGCAATAAAAAAAAGATGTATAAATTAAAAAAAACACCAATAACACCATGTCCTGTAATGGCGTGGGGGCACATAAATGTCAGTGTCTCTACCAGTTGCCAAAACATGCTGCCAGTCTACAGTCAAAAATAACCGGCACCAGTGACACTGTGCCAGTTCCAAATGCAAAAAGGCTCCTATTTCTACTCAGTGTCTATCTGGCACTTGGTGAAATTGAAGGCATTTTCAAACAAACTCTCAAACACCTTAAATCTTTCCTCTCACTTTTGTACCATTAAAAGCATATTTAAAAAAAAAACTAAAAAAAAAACTGCTAGTCCTATCAAAAATATGAGAAGCTGTCATTCTCGTACGAGCAAAGCTGCATGTGCAACCACGTAAAGATGGGAGAGCGCTAGTTGGCATGCAGGTCAAAGTGTACTCACTCTGCAGGTTAACAGGTGGAAGGCATTGGAAGAAACAACAGTTAGCTTTAAAGCTAAAAAAACTCAGAGCACTCACTGGCCTGGTATTATTGGAGCAGGCATGCAGGAAGGCTAGGACCACGCTTAAGTAAACTAGAGTAAATGGAGCATTTTGACAGCAGCGACAAAAAGAAAAAAATCTATACAGAGATTCTACTTTGTGTGCTATGTACAGATATACAGACTCTTCCAATGACCAGTCGTCCATGTTGTGCTCAGTTGATAAGACTAACAGCTTCTTGGTGCCTTTTTACATATTCAAGTACAGTATGTGCACATTATACATACATTAGAAAGATTACTGTAATTAAGATGCAAAATTAAGACTGAAAGTTGAAACTGAACCTATAAAAAAAAGTCAAACTTAAAAAAAAGAAATCGAAAAATGTGGTTTTACAAGTAAACAAATTTAACAACAGGCTTTTAACAAAAAATGCTCTGAATCAAACTGGTAACATATCTTTGTCCTCTCTTCCGTCCAATAACACAGAAAAGAAAAATATACTTAAAAAACAAAATGTGTGAGGGCTTTGTCTCTACTGCAAAACAAATTGGTGCTTACCTCAACAAATGATAGTCTATGAAATGGTTGTTAAGACAAATGTGTATTAATGGTCATATTAACAGCATTGAGGTAGCTGTGCTCTGCCTACTGAAGAAAATAATGAGTGATTATGCATGGAGCTCAAAAAATGACTAGAGATTCATGCCAGGGCAAATATATTCAAGTTACCCCAAAATTAGTATTGTACTATACGGTCCTTAGAATTACATCCTCTTCACACCCAGCATTCTGGTCCCCACAGCCCCTCCCAAAAATTACAAAATATTAATTATTATAAAATAGTGTAAATTCTCTGTACAGCTCAACACACAGCTCCAACACGGTGGGCATTTCTAACTGTTCAAAACAGGGGATCAAAAGAGAGGAAAGCGTGATGGTAAAATAAAACACAGACATAATGTCAGTTAAAGTCATTAAAATATGACTACAGCCCCAGCCCCCCGCCCAAAAACATGTATCGGTGAAAATGTCCTAAATACAAAAGATCTGACAGCACGCAGACTGTCAGAGCAGGTGCAAGTGTTGACTGTGAGTTGTTCCGAGTTAATGTAACTGTGTTAGATGTGTGTGTTAATGTCCACTTCACACTGGTGCACAGGGAGGGTAGTGTACTGGAGTCAGTCAGGGCCACAACATGGCGGACACGTTAGTGTCGGTGCTGTAGATCCACAGCACCAGGGGTAGGGAGATGGCCACGAAGGGCCAGGAGATGCCCTCAGCCCATGCAGACAGAGAGCAGCCTTTGCTGGCCGGCTTCTCCAGCTGTTTACCAAAGTCCGAGTAGTTCCTGGACATAAACTTCAGCAGCTCATCCAGCAGGATGACAGGCAGGGAGATCTTCAGCACCATCATCCACTGGGTTGTATCCAGAGGGGTGATCTGGAAGATGACCTGTGAGAGTGCACGACAACATTCATCATTTAACACCACAGATACTCACATGTGTCAGCATGGGGAACTCATGGGTGACCTGTACCCCTCCAAATGTCCCATTCCACCCTACAGTAGGCAGGACCATAAGGGCCATTTAAGTTCATGCTATGGGACGTCTGGTGGCCCAATGCTCAAAGCAACAGTTGTACAGTTTGGGAAATACACATATTCGCTTTCTTCCAGCAAGTAAGTGTCTATGCACTAAATAGGAAGGCGGTTAGCTTAGCATAAAGACTGGAAACAGGGGAAACTGCTCACCTGGCTCTCTCCAAGGATGACAAAATCCACCACCAATCAGCACCAATAGGCTCACTAATTAACATGTTATGTTATTAATCCTTACAAAAACCAAAGTGTAGAAATTGCCATTGGTTTACAGGACGTTATGTGGGGGACCATTTCTTGGCTGGACAAGTGACTTCCTGAAGTGTCCACCAGTTCCCTGGTAACCCCACAGTGATGACAAGATTCAAGGAAGTCACAATGCTAGTCAAGAAATATTCCAGCATATAATTAGTGAGATGTAGAGGTTTAAGTAAATGTTTAAGTATTTTCCTTGTATTTAGAAGGTAGCCCATTTAGTTTCCTTCGTCTGTCTGTAATGAATGCACTGAACCACTAGGGGGCAAACAGAACCACATAACTGAAAGTCAACCTGTGTCCTGCAGTAGGTAACTCGGTTATCAAGCAGTCAGCTCATTTCTGAATTTTGTTTTTAAATGACATTATTGGATACATTGGTTTTGTAAAACTCACAGGCAGAGGTTCCACATAGAGGATGAGGAAATGGAGGGACATGGAGAGGCAGATGGCCCCCAGGAGCCAAATGTTCTCCCAGGGTGGCATCCGCAGCAGGGACTGGTTCTCTGACAGACTGGACAAAGGAGAGAACACAGATGGTGATTTATTTATACAGTTTGCCCTTCATTTTCTGAGTGCAAATTATTCAATCAATTATTCAAGAGGCCTGTTGTTTACCTGTTGAGAGCATTGCACATCTCAATGGTGACGAGCACAGACAGGGCCATGGTCATCGGGTAGGGCGACTCAAACACGTGGCAGTCCAGGCCGTCGAAATCTGGGTTGTCTGGGCCGCACTGGAGGAAGTGGCTCTGTGGGGAGGAAGGCAGGGGAGTGAGGGGGAGGCAAAGAGCTGAGGGGAGCTGAAGAATGACCACTGGGACAGGCAGACTCACCAGCTGGTAGAGAGTGAGCTGAGGTCCATCTTCAGAGACAGTGAACCACCAGGCAGCAGCTCCCACTGTGGCTGCACCCACATAACCTACACGCAAAGACACAACATAAGTAAGTAAAGCTTTATTTATAGAGCACCTTTTTGACACGGAGATCCAAAGTGCTTTACAAACAACAAATAAACATAAGGGTATAACCATACCCAATCAAACAAACATAGGGAGCATGTAAATACAAACAAAGGAAGATAAAACAAGAGGGAAAGAATAAATTAAAAGAGAGAAAAAGATGAGGAACAAACAAGGAGATCTATAAAAGGCATGCCTGTAAAAATCCAACAGATTTTCTGTGCTAAAAAGCAAGGCACAGTCACCTTTAGTTTTGCAGTGGGG